CCCACAGCGCTTTGCGTGTCTGCACGCTGTCAAGAGCCAACGCGAGGTATTGCTTCAAACGGTTTGTGCTTCAGAAGTGTACGAATGTCGCCACATATGATAGGACAGTTGGGGTCCAACAAGACATTGGAGTCGGCGGCAAGAGACAAGAGGATTCTTACGCGCGATGACAACAAGGCAAGTCTTGGTCAAAATACGCCTCCTAAACACAAACACATTACGTGGAGCCGCGCCAATCCGGGTGCCTTCCTTGTGCCATATATGCCTCGCTGATGTTGCAAAAAGGTCGAAGCGCCGCAGGTAGAATGGTGTTTCTTGCAAGTCGACAACCAGTTCGCATTTGACTCATGGGCAGCAATCCGTTGATAATCTTGATCATGCCGGGGCCAGCGTGCATCTGTTCTCTTGTAAAATCCACAAAATGCAGCATAGCAAGCTTTTCCCGGAGGATGCGAAATGTCCAGGTGGTTCTCTGCCCTCCTGGTAATCCTAGCGTGTTCAGCTCGTACAAGTGGCAATATACTGAAAGTCCAGGAGCTTGCCACGCCAAGAAATTCATTGTGCTGTGGATTTACTGAACGGGGATCAAGGATTCAGAAAAAGTTTCGCGGTACTTTCACAAGTCATGCACGAGCTGTTAATGCAAAAACGGGCTGAGAGTGAGGCTGAGCAACGTGGGTGGGACAAGCATCCTCTCTGTCAGCAACACCAACCGCGATTCCTCGCTTCCCATTCCTGTACAAATAAAACATCAGTCTGTGTCTGCTTCTAAGCTTGTTTGATGCTCGCAGGCGCATTCTCCCTACTGAAAACAAGGAAGTGTTTCATGTATGAAGGCCATTCCTGCCATGTGTTCCATGGTGTGCTCCAACCATCTCCAATGCGCTGCCAATACGCACACTGCCAAAAGACATGTTGATTGTCAGCAGTTTCTGAACCACAATTGGGACTGTGTGGATTGGTGCAAAAGTTTGTTGAAATTTCATCAAAGGCGCTTTCTCCGTTACTGACGATGCGTCTCATAGTACTGGCGTGATAGAACAGGATTAGCATCCTTAAAGATCATGAGAAAGGCTGCAATGTCGGCCTGCTGAACATCCTCCCACTTATCCGATTTGCTATGCAAAAGTTCTTCAAGAGATTTCCTGAGAATGAGCTTTCTCAGCTGACGTTCAAGAGAAGATTTAGGAGTCTTCCCAAAGTTCCAAAGCTGCTCACCATGCGCATTATAAGTACCCGTGTCAAAACCCAAGGTCAAGTTGAGAGCTTCGAGGTCTTTCTTGAGTTGGGCTATGGGCCCAATCCCCCCGTGTCTGACTTTGACAGCCCGCCAATGTGTTTTCCAAATTATGTGCCATTTCAACCTTCTCTAAAAAAATATAAAAAAAAAATAGCAAGATAAATGCCAAGCCGATTGCCGTCAAAAGCCTCCCCGAATGACGAGCGCCACATACGCAACTGATGAGTTGTTGGACGATGCACGACCGCAGAGTAAGCTACCCAAGGTCGCATGATCGTGCCCTGAACCATTGTTAGCCATCTGTCTGGCAATGCGCGATCTAGAAAGCAGCATAAAACCTCTTTGGATATTGTCGATTTTGTCTTGAAACCAGTGCTTGGAGTCCAATTGTTTTTTCGAGAGTGGAAATCCCAAATAGTCAAGGCTATCAACTTTGGGAAGAGGTGTTCCATTGGTCCAAGTCATGACCTGTTCGTTGACTGATCCGTTCAAGTGCATACAACACTGAGCCCTCTTTGTACATCCCATTGCTCAGTCCAAATAATAGGAATTTGCAGTTCTTCGAACTTAATATTTACCTTTTGGATTGTACATGTTTCTGTCATCTACATACACAAAAGTGCCAACATTGCAGGAATATTGGTACTCGTCGTCGAAAAATCCATGAGGGGCTGACTGTCCCGCTTAGCCAAGCAAAAGCGGGCGCATATGGATTTCTCTCAAAATAGGGAAAGCCCAAAAACTGGTGTCTTCGCCAAACTCCACCAAGTCCAAAAACAAAACGCCTGCTTGCTTCCTTAAGACGACCGGTGATCAATAGCTGGACAGCCAGCCTTGCCCAGCAGGAAAAGGGAGGTGAACAGCATCGCACAGAAGGACCTTGGGTCCAGTATGATTCACAACCCTGAAGTAAGGAACGCTTCATCTTGGGTGAGCTCGGTCTACCTTGCCCAGAGCAAGCTCCAGCCGTCCGCATTCCTTCGCGGTTCCTTCTCTTAGGCACCGGACAAGAAAAAGTGAGCAACTTGTTGAGTTCACCAAACGTCAAAACTGGGATTAACCGGACCGCCGGCCTCTTTCTTGGAGCCGACTCTTTGTGAGTTCGACTGGGTCCAGATCCTTTCCAGCCACGCTTCTTTCCTAACAATGCAAAAAGTCCAATGGGGGAAATACTAATATACTAAGAACAAAAACACAGAATGGTCCCTTCAAGCGAATTTCCCCCCCCCCCCCACCCACCCGGCAACGAGTGCAGATGCAAAGAAAAGAACCTGTTGGTTGCAGTTCTTGTTGGGTGAAGTAAATACGCGTACTTTGGAAGCAGTTCGGAGGGGAGGAAGCACATCAACTGCGGCATAAACTACAGACTCGCGATGGTGGCGATTATACATCTTGACCTGCGCTGACATAAAGCGAACTTGCGAAGTGAGATATGTTGCGCGTGTTGAAGGGAGTCGGACCAACATTCAAATTAGGCGGGGATTGGGAGACGTAGGTTTGAAGCGCTTCCCCAAACAACATAGCACGCTAAGGCATGCGCAGCGACCCTGCAAAGATCAGCTCAAAACACTTGAGACATAAAGATCGGAATTTGCACAAATCCCGGAAACGGATCTTGCGCAGATCTCTCCAAATACCCTGTACAAGACTGGGCAAGATCTGCCAACCTTAGATCGTGCGAAAAACTGCCAGAGATCATGTAGAGAGCTCTTGCAAACAGATCGTGCAGAGAACCGTGGACTGCGATCCTCCCAAGAGACCTTGTACAGAGATCTTGCAGGACTTTCGGAGTACCGTGCAATAGATGTCCACTGCAGTACCTTCAACGGAAATCCTGAATAAAACAAATCCTGCATTGTACCTTCATCGAGATCCGAGATCTGGCGCAAGTCGGTAGACTTCTTAGTTCTTGTTGGCACGTACTGACAGCACTCTGGATCTGTTCGGGGTGCTCGCCGGGATGAATTTGAGGTATGTTTGAGGTACGAAGTACTTGTGAGTTATGTTTGAGCTATATTTGGTGTGTGTGTGTGTGTGAGATACATGTGTGAGGCACTTGTGAGGCATGTGTGTGAAGCAATTCAAGCTTTAGATATACTTGTTGGCAGGATTTGTGGGAAATTGCAGGACTTGAATTGGGCAGTTCGCAGTTGGGTGGGGGGTGGGGGGGTCAGCTTGGGGGCTTCTCATAAAGATTCCCTGCTCGTTCCCTGATGCCTCAAATAGTGCGCCACCAAACTGAACCAGTTGTGCCATGGTTAAGCTCCTTTAGGTGGGTCATGGACATGATTCACAGGAACCTTTGCAATGGTGAGCAAAAGTTCCACGTAAACATCCTCAACATGAGATCCAGTTGCTCATGTTTAACGCATCCGGCTGAGTGCAAAAGCACCTGTCTCGGGTTTTCCTGTAAAAACCTTTCGGGTTTCCGCGGGCTCATCCATCGCCTCGAAGGAAAACACTCGCGAAAGCACACGGGTATGGGTATGTCCAAACAATGGGTGAGAACACTTGCTGGAAGGCAATAGAGGGGGAGCCACATTTGGCTTTGCTGCAAAGCGAAATGACACATCTCCCATAGTACTCCCCATTCTTTGGAGGAGCTGGTTCTGCTTCTCCATCTAGTGCTGTTTTTTTTGTGCGACGATTGGCAGTTCACAGAAGGCCAATCAACTGGGAGCTTCCATAGAGTCGCCTGGAGGGTACCTTGGGATCTTCCTTGGCTCGGATAGCCCTTGGGTCCCGGCGTGCTGGAGTGGCCCGAGGGAAAGGACCTCCGCGCTTCGTCGTTCGTGTTGGTGCACTCTTTGCCGTCCCAGCCGCACATGTGGTAGAAGTAGGGCCTCCATTTTCCCAGAAAGTTGAAAGCACCTCCATGTTGACACCCAAATACAACTCTTGCTTAGCCTCGATGCTGGTGTATGTGTTTTGCAAGGCCCCAAGTGAAGCCCAAAAGAGCGCGAGCGCCTGAAGCAACCCCACCCTAACCCCCATGGTTTCTGTTTCTGGCCCGACACAAGTTTAGCCAACTGGCGGTGTCCAAAAAGCTGTCTTTCGAAGCAATGTGTTAGAAATGCGTGTTCGACATCCGCTTGATTTCCTGAGACAACATGCAAGCAGGGGCCAGCCCAAATTTGGGGCAACATCAAAAAGACCCGCGGCACTGAATTGGCAGCACAGTCGCCCATCAGGTGCTTTTGTCCACACGATGCAAGCGAGTGGAACCGGTTTCTTACAACCCATGTGCTTGAAAACCCCCTGGCCCTGAAAGATCGCAAAACAACGGTTTTTGGATTTGGCTTCCCGCATCATCAGCATCACCAGTTCCGCCCTATTTGAATCATCACTTCTTCGAACATCTTGGGGGGGAAGCCCCCACCCGCCACTGTTTAGATTGTTTGCAGAGTAATTGCACCCGGATAAGATTTGGGTCTGTGAGCGTCCCCAGTACGCAGGAGAAGGGGTTGGGTTGAAACAAACCTCCCTTGAGCAGGCATCTGGCTGCCACTGTTGGCGTTGGTGAAATAGGCAACAAGGTGGGGGTCCGTCCCAAATGGCCATTGACTGCCTTTTTACCTTCTGACTAACATGCAACCCCTTTTGAGAGGAACATGGCATTGCAGAGACCTCCAATTGTCATCAATCTCCGTAGTGGCATGGGAAAGAAGGGAACCACTGACGGTGTGTCTCAAACCTAGGTGTTGCTTTCTCAACTGAAACATCGCAAAGGTGGTTGCCGGAGTTTGGTCCTGAGCTCTCGACTTAAAACCAGCGGGGAACCAAATCTGCGGAGGTACCAGGTACAGTACCTCACTCGAAATATGCCATTGATAGTTGACTCGAAATACGCCATTTGATAGTTGTGTCTGCGTATGTGAGTCATGTTTTCCGTGATAGATCCACTTCGCACCAGTTGGTAGCTGGTTTATCCCGGTCACATCCCAGCTGGTGCGTTTTCCGCATGTCATTATTGTCCATCCAGTTCCAAAATGAACCCCCTGAAGCCAGCGGTTGGCTTTTCTCGAAAGGGGATTCCTCCGACCCGCCCTTTGAGAAACAATGCGCGTCTCTTTCGGTCCAACAGTCCCGCCCTATTTCGAGACGGTGTTATCATCCGCAGGGTGCCAAGCCCTTGTTGAAGCATGTTGAAAGACCCCTTGTTCAATCAACCTCCATTTCCTTCCACTTTTTTGGGGCCGCTCTGGTTGCAACCAATCTTGCAACCCCGTGAAAGCGTCAGTCCTCCAATAGCCCACATAGTTCTTCGTCAGGTTCACCGTGAAGAACATGCACGCCATGGCCATCAGGAGGCCTCTCCTCAGACATGTCTGAAGCGTAACAGGAACGAGTTTGGGTTCCGCAAGAATCTCAGCAGAATAAATGTGGTTTCCTTTAAGGGTGTCCTCCGGGGTGATTCCCTCAACCCCCTTCGATTCCCTACTGAGATTTGCGTATGTTGTATTAATCCAATTCTCAAAGAATGGCTACGAACAGGTTGTTGTCCGGAACCCCTCACCTCTATCCGAAATCTGACTCACTGATTCAAAGCTTTCAAAGACCCTTCGTGAAACTGTGCTGCTGGCGGTATCCTGCTTTATCCTTTGAAACGGTCTTTGTTTAGGGCACAACCTTTTCCAGTCAGAGCTGCTCTAATTGCTTTACTGCTGTAATTCAGCAACATGAGTGAAGGCATCCCCTAGCAAAGAGGCCTTTCAACGGGTAAGTCTGCCTTAACTCCGAATCGGACTTGAGCTCGCTACAACTTGCCCAGTTTCGGTCCATCAGACAAACACCTTGAGGCACGCCTGCGAAGCCTGGAGAAGCAATTGGATATTCGGGAGACCCCGAAGAAACCCAGAGACACAAAATGGATTTGTTGAATTGTTTGCCATAATTTGAGAGCCTCAAACGCGAATTGGGTCTCTAAGTTTTTAAAGGCGCTACTAACATCATAAGTTCGTGTTCCCCATCCGTGGAATCGCCATCACAAGAGGCAGAAAGGAACCCTGAACAACCCAAAAGAACCCTCTCAGGAGCTCCAAGGACCCGGCGAAACCCTCAGGCACCCGACCACTGCCTCAGTTTTTGCCCTGAACCTAAAACGAGCTCATTTGAGACGTTACAAAAATGGGCTCCTTGATTCCAACCCTGGCAAAAACTCAGAAACTCCAAGGCATGCGAAAGAACCTTTGGGAACTCAAAAGAACCCTAAGGATCCCCGAGAAACCCGAAGAAACACCCGAAACCACAAGGGCCTGCAACCAACCGGACCTTTTGGGATGAAAATCAACGCATGTCCATAGCGAGGCGCACGAAGGAGGCTGGCTCGCCGTCCCGCGGGCAGAGGCAGGTGATCACAAGCATCACCCCTGGTGGGGTGAGGTGGGTGTGTTGCAAAGGCCAAAACCAACTGGACAACTGGACTTGTAAACCAAATGAGACCATGATCAAAGAGACCATGCGTGTAAATGTCCAGCCCCTTAACCTTATGTTGCAATTTGCATGTGTGCCAAACAAGGTCCAGCTTGGGTGGTGCTGCTTGACTTTTGGGGACGTCAATAGGAATGGTCTAGTGCTATTTCTACCTCCATAATGTTGGACCTCCTTTATTAATAGTACTCGCTCTTGTAGATTTTTTCCTAATTCAGAATCCTGTGACTGTTTTATAAGCCTTGGTAGCTCCTGTTGAGCTGGAGGCTGGTTCTGAGCTAGAATTTGGGAAATTGTTTTCTTGAAGTGGTCCCCAAACCATCAAATTTCAGATAACTTCTTTACAAAAAAGTGCGGGCAAACAGTCACACAAAGGGGGGTGCCCACAAGAGGCCCAGATCCTCTTTAATGCGATTGTTTTGGGGTCCTCTTTAGTGTCCAACTGGTTTCGGGGGTTGCTGAAAAAACGACCCTTGCAATACTAAAGTAGAATTGGCAATACTAAAGTAAGTACTGGGGATCTGAGAGTCAGCCTTGGCAATACTAAAGTAGAATTGGCAATACTAAAGTAAGTACTGCCCCTCCCGGACCCCCAGGATCTCCCTCAAGAGAGTCCCGCCGACTGGTTCCACTGTTCCAGGGGGGGGGGATCACACTAAACCTGTTTAGTCCAACATTACTTTTGAAAACCGGCCAATCACCTGTCTTTTGCGTGGTTCTTGACAGGGACCCCGATTGTGGGACGAAAGAACAAGCCCAAGAAGTATACCCGCGTATCTCCAACCCCGGAAGCTACCCAGGCTCCAGGACCCAGCACCCAAACAGGAACG